TTTCTCACAAGATCTCCTTTAGCTCAAGACTGCACTATGGTTGATCAACTCAAGACACCTCCTTAAGCACTGATGACCAAAATTAGGGTTTGAGATTTCACAGGGATATTTGAACTTCCAAAGTCCCATATGACTTTCATGGACCATTATGGACCCTCAAGATTACTCATGTCAAGTTTCAAGCTTTGGATCACACTTTTGCTCAGTCAATTAAGCAGTTGACCTAAAAATCAACTGTATTGGGAAAAAAGTCAACGGTGGCCAATTTACAGTCAAACTTCATAATTTTTGATCCACATCAACATTTTAAACTCATATGTATCATTTGATCAAGTTTGGGTCACAATTCCTCAAGAAATTTGATCAAATCTTCAAAAGGGGAAAATGGTCAAAATTAGGGTTTTGACTGGGAAAGGGCAATTTCTGATTTTTGACCTAGAAAATGATCAATTGGTTTAAGGAATGATCTCAAGATTCCAATTGCATCATTTTGACCTAATGAAATGGCTCAAAACATTGCTCAAGCCCAATGGATTGACAGATGAATTTTCAGTCAATTGATCAAAAGTTAACTGTATACTGAAAAGTCAAACTTTGACTTTTTGGTCAAAATCAAATGTCAAAGATCAAAATTCATCAAAACATGTCAAAATATGAAAATTATTCATCAAGAAATGAAAAATTCAAGATTTCATTTTGAAAAGTTAAAATTTCTAAACTTAGAAATTTTTCCAAGTGTTGGAAATTTCTTATTTTTTCACAACTTTGAGCAACATTTTCACCATGATGCAAGATGATTCAAAAGAAACTTTCAACATGAAAGTTGTAGATTTCCATGAAATCTAAAACACTTCTTTACACAACTCCTTCTAAAATGGCTTGGATCTCAAGTTATAATTTTAAGAACACATGGTCATGAAACAAAACACTTAGTGAAATTTTGTCCTAATTTGGTCAGGATTTTGACCTAACTTCATGACACTTTTTCATATAGTTACAAGGGGAATTTTCAAAAGTGATTAAAATAGTGGTTGTAGAGAACATTACAATCTTTCCAAAATGTCCTAGAACTCCTTGAGATCATTTTTGAGTAGGGAGAATCGAAGAGATGAAGTTAGGGTTTTCACACTTGAATTACAAGTCATTTTGTGATGAACAAGATTCAAAATTCAAACTTATGCTGCATAATCTCTACTTTGCAGGCCTCAAACTTGTTAGGAACTCCATAAATAATTGCTTGCACAGCTGTTAGAGGTCTCAATTCAAGCATTCAATGTAAGGCCATGTTTTATATCTATTTTAGGAAGAAAGTGCACAATGCCATTTTGATAAAGTAGCTTTTTGCACAAAACTTGTTCTTGAGCCTTGAAATTGCTTTCTTCTGATCATACAAGTCCCATAACTCAAGATAAGCTTGTATAGACACTTAAAATCACTCAACCCATGCTTGTACTTTCTCTTGAAACTTATTTTCCCATTTTTCTTGAAAATCAAGTAACATAGCAATTAGATTGTAACTTGTACTTCTGACTATCCAAAGCACTCAAGACCTTTTGCTTATACATACACAAGTCATTTGCCACAAATCACACGCATGCTTGAGCCCTGAAAACACCAAGAACATATAATCACCAAAAACACCTCAAAACTTATCATTTATGAGTTTTGAATCCAATCTCCAAATTTGTTCGTGCGTTTCTTGGCCTTTTACTTTCAAAAGCTTCTAAATAACATATACAAACAATTACAACACCTGCAACACCACTGCAACACCTCTATCATCATCCACCATTTTCAAAAACAGTACTTTGCACCTTGACTTATCCAGAACTCCTCAAGCACTTTCAGCTCAAGCTAAACATCACATTAGCTTCCTGGGAACTTGAGGAAGCTAATCCAATCATTGGAACTCACTAAAAGCTACTCAAACTCAAAACATAATACCCTCTTGCAAGGTGAGTTTTCTGACTTTTGAACTCTTCATACAAGCATCATTAATGTTTTATTTGTGAATGAAAAATGTAGGTATCACTGCTCCAACGCTAACCATGTCCATAGTTTTCATTTATATCGCTTGAGCTTTGAGAATTTTAAGATTGAAGTTTCTAAAATTTTTACGGTTCAGATTAGGGCTATTAAAATTCATGCTTGTCTTTGATCTATAATTTTATTGCTTTGCATTTATGAAATCGTGAGGAAATTTGCTACAAGTTTCCTGTTTACATTTTTCATTTTTGTTGAGAATTGAATAAGATACAGAGGTTCAGGTTGGGCGTGAGGTTGAAGATGAAGTTGGGAATTGCTATATGTATTTATGGTTTGATATTAATAAACGGATGTATAGCCACCCCAGTGATAGAAGCGCACGCCTGTGACTATAGGGACCTGGGTTCGAGTCCCAGTAGTACCCTTTTGGTTTTTTTTCCATATTTTTCATATTCTGACTCTTTCTTTTTTGGCAGCGCTGGGCCTCATCCTTGGGCCTTATGTTTTTTTTCACTTCTGACCCCCTTGCTGGCTATTCACACCCTGGCCCATTTTATTTTATTTTTTATTTTTATTTATTTTGTTTTCTCAAATATTTTATCTAAATACTAAAAAAAATCAGAAAAAATATAAAAACATTAGATTTATATTTTGATATAGTTTATTTATTTTTTGCACACAAAAAATTATTATTTTATTTAATCATACTTTATTTATTTTACTAGTTGATTTGTAAATTTAATTAGAAACTAAATTTTTTTAGTTATTTTCTTTTACACAATTTAAATATATTATTTTAATATATAAAAAGACCAAAAATATTTTATAATACTATAAATTATTTTTAAGACAAAAATACCAAAAATATTCTTCTTATAAACTTATTTTCTTTTTTAATCAATTAATAGATTAGAGTTTTATTTAAATTCCTTTCCTAGTAAATTTAGGTTTTACTTTTTACTAATTTACTTAATTATTTTTATTTTAGTTAATTAGGTTTAAACAAAACCCCTTTTCCCTAAAAAATCCAAACAAAACATCCATTTTATTTACATTTACATTCTTGTATATTTATTCATTTTGTACATTATTTATTCAATTCTTGTACAAATTCAATATGGTTGTAATAGATAATTAGGTTTATTTTCTAGCAATCCCCATTTGTAATTTGTACACCCCTCCCACAAGTATTGTAATAGCGTGGTAATTTTAAATTCAACAATTTATCGCTTTATATGCAAATGCTAGTAATTAGGGTTTGTATGAAAAGACTAAAACCAATCAATTAGAAAACCCTAATCAAAGACAAAACCAAGCATGAAAAACAATGCACTTGCACACAAGCACCCTTAGGGTAAAATCCACTTGGCTGCCTTACAAAATGGCCATATTACACATGTACGGTATCTTAGCAAAAACAAGCAAAATATAAGATCATAGTCCCTCGATAATGCTATCTATGTTGCCTTTCAAATGATCTTAGCCCCTAAAAGAGAATGCTAAGATACCTTGCAACATTGCTAATCATGGTTATACGATGACCCACGCCCATCCCGCTTACATCCAAAGATAGAGTTACTTACCAAATCAATGATAAGATAACAATGTCAAAGGAAAGGGGAAATGAACATGAAAGACTTTTGAGTAGGTAGAATGCTCCTAATTACTTGCTCCATTTCAAAACAAAAGATCTTTGCTATTTTCAAAACACCAACACTTTCAAAACACCTTTCAAACTTGAAAACATTTTCAAAAGATCAACTCCTTTGTATACATTCTTACGAACAAGAATCATTACAAAGTTTGCCTAAACAATGGCCTCTTTACAGAATACTTTCAAAAAACCACACAAAAGCAAAATTTCAAACAAAAGCAAGTGATCTAGAAAGTAACTAAGAGCCCATGGGAAACCATGGATGAAAAGGGTGCTAATACCTTCCCTTTTCATAATATACCCCCCGAACTCAAGAAACAATCTCAAAGGTCTTTCCTGTGCTTTTTCACCTTTCCTTTTGGATAAAAGAAAAGTCGGTGACGACTCTTGCTAACCGCAACATTTGCGATCAAACGCAAAACACCCAAGTCAGTTCTCCCACCGTATCACAATATGCAAAGTAAGAATAATACTAAAAGTAAAGAAAAATACAATGCATTTGAACGGGATTGAAGGTTTGGGGGTTGATTATACAAAGGGAAGGTACTGGCACCCTATGTATCTATAATATTCTATATGAACCTTTTGAAATATCTGTTTTTTGATTAAAACTGGTTTGCTTGCTAAACGAGTGTAGGGATGAAATTTTGAAGATGCGACGACCTAATTTCCAAGTTTTAGCTTAAATGAGTGTAAGTTTAAAAGTTGAGTTTTTCAGGAGATTTAACTTAATATTAACAAAACTAAAATGTACGAAAGAGGTTTCGCATAATCATATTAGATATATTCGATGACATGAAGTCAACAAATTAATCCTTTCCCTTGGATTAGGCACAAACAAAATATAAAAATCAAATAATCAGAAAGAACTTAAATAAATAGCACTTAAATCATTTAAATAGTTAACAACCAAAATTTAATTAAAATAAAGAATGACAAATCAAATCAAAATTATCACAAAATCAGTTAAGGAATATCATGAGGAAATCAATCCAAACAAATAAGAAACAACAAGGTCAAGATAATCAATGAGAGACTAATTTAGAGAGACAAAAAAAATCAAGCGAGAAAAGGTAACTGAATGAAATAACTAAAAATATTAATTAAACTAAAATACTATTAAAAGTCACAAGTTTTACTAAATTTATTTTAAAAGCTAAACTAATTAATTTGAAATTATCCAATTATCTAATTAACTAAAGTTATAAAGAAAACCTAACCAAAGTAAAAATAATAAAAGAATTTATCAACTCTTAACTTAAACAACTAAAATTGAAAGAAAAAGGGTGCAAGGTTAGATCATAGGGGGTGTTCATGAGCAATTCAAATGGGCTTGTGGGAGTAATTTAAAAAAAAAAAATTAGGTCCCAAGATATATAAAAAAATAAATAAGATTAAACCACACAAAAAATAAATAAAAAAGTATAAAAAAGGCCGTTGGGCCAGACCGAGTCATAGAGGTCTGGATCCATCTCCACTCAAACAAAAAACAAAAATTTAACAGAGCAATTACAAACCACACATAGCTATACACACAACATGAAAAAACATAGAGAATATGGTGATTACCGGTGAGTGGTAACGCGACGGAGTAGCGCGGTCGGAGCGTCGGAGGAAATCGCGGTGGAATTGGATGGTGGCTGGTATTTATGATCGGTAGCTGTGGAGTTGCGGTCGGTACGACATCAGTTATGTTGGTTGGAGGTGGCGCACATAGAGATTCGTCAGTTTCCGCTCTTTCTCGGGACAGAGAGCAGATGTGATAGTGGTGGATCGAAAAGTTGTTGGAGGTTCTCGGCACGGATTCGATATTTCTCATATCTTTTGCAAATTCCTTATGTTATACCGACTGCCCTATGATGTTGTGGTAACCGTGATGATAGAAGCTATGGAATGGATTTGTGATGTTACTGCTGTTTTTCTTTAATTACAGGCTGTAGGTGAGTTTAGAGGTGAGATTTGAAAATAAGACTTGGGAGAAAAACTATGAAAAATTTTACATCAGGTTTTTGATCTTTCTGTTATTGTGTTGGTGTCTGAGTTACTTAGTGATGGATGTTGAAGTTTTGATGAAATAGTGGTTATTGTTGTGTCCTGAGTTATTGCGGATTTGTTATATTGATGAAAATGATGAGATGCAGCGAGGATGAAAATGTAGGTAAGCTGTTATTCAGGTATGGTGCTTTGTTGCTGAAGCTTGGGGGGTATGAAGATGATGCCGAGAAAATTTGGTGAGCTTTTTGAGTCTTCTGCAGAATCATGGTGAGGTTTACAGGATTGAAATGTTGTTGTTGAACAAAAGTTAAATGACTGTTGTTGAGTGTTTGTATCGATGAGGTTTGGTGAGTATGGTTGAAACTGGTTTTCAGAAGTAGTGTAAAGGGTGAGCATACCGTGGTGTTTGGTTGTGGTGATGGAGATTTGGACAGAAGCTTTGTGCAAGGTTCCTTATGTTTTATGAAACTTTTCTGTGTGCTTTTTTTCTCTAATTTCTTATCTATGTCTTGTGTATGTTGATTTTCTAACACTTTCTTCTCTCTTTTATGAGTGACTTGAGGCTGAATTTATAGGTGAGAAAGATGAGATTTGAGGGAAAAATGAATGGTATTTGAACACTTTGTGATACATTGTTTTAACACATTTTGCTGCATATTGGTTTTGGCTATTTTGATGTATTTTTTAAATGGTTTTGACAGGTTTTGGACCGGTATATGCAGTGGACGGCAAGAGGGTTTTTGTTGTCTTATGCAGGATTGAGACAAGGCATTTGGAAGCAGGTTTGTGGCATCTTGTGAGCAGTATGGGGCAGCAACAGGTTCTGTTTTTGAGCTGAAATAGGCTCTTTGATAAATTTTCATGTAATCTCTTTATATCCATCTTATAAATGTATCTTGTAAATTAAATGGAAATTGAAGTTTTGAATTATTCTTGAATGATGAATATTTTTTGTATCCTTGAGACCTTGAATGATTTAGCAATCGAAGCTTGAACCATTCTTAAATAAACTTAAAATAACACACCAAATTAAACCTTGCATTTGGATGAATGGATCATGGTAAATGCCTTGCAATCTCGAAATAATTATGATACATGTCTCAAATTCATCCCCATGAATGAAGTTTTGAACTTAAAAACGGACAATTGAATCATGGCTAGCTTGAAAACCTTGAAAAAGGATGAATGTCTTTGAAACCTTGAATTAAATTTAATTTAATGATATTTCATGTGCGAATCTTCAATTCATGGTAACTCACAAGACAATCCAGTAGCGCTTGAAAGAACAATAATGCCTTGAGAAATCTACTTTCATTCAATGATCACTAAATTCTCAGACACAAGTGATTCAAATTGCGAATAATAAAAATGATCAATGAATATTCAAACTCCACTTCTTGTTTTCATGAATAATCTCCACGTAAGAATCAAATGTCTTGAAAAAAATAATTATGACATGAATTGAACCTAGGAGTTAAGAACATTCTAAGTCAAGAAATGACCTATGATAGTTCAATAACTTTCAAGGTATTATGAGCATAATTTGTCCTTGATCTTTGAAGAAAAGTCGTAGACGACATCATCTATGACAGTGTGCAAAAAGAATCGTCCAAAAATCTTGAAAATTGAAAGAGTTACGATCCTTGAAAGTTGGGTGACAATTACTTGAGATTATGTCAAATCTGCAAAATGACCTCTAAGATATTCGAATATTTGATGATCCTCCACACATAATTAGATCTTAATCGGTAAAAAGGAGTTGGAGATCACGTCATTGAGAGTTATACGCAAAAATAACCATTAAAAAATATTTAATAATGAAGAAGTTATGATCGTTTGAACTTGATCTTGAAAATATTGACTTTTGGTCAAAGTGCTTTAAATAAACTTAGAAATTTGATCCTTCCTTGCATTCCAAGACATATTGATGCCCATGTGAATCAGTGATGATGAAATATTGATTGTGCTTTTAAGATTATAGGCAAAGCTTTGATGAAATAGCCTCTGAGAATCGGTGATTCACCATACTTGAACACTTGAGGGATCCAAAACTCTAATTGAGGTGCAACACCTTACGCTCTTGATTTAGACATGTCTCTGCACATGAAATCAAAGAAACACAAATATACACATTTGTATGGGATTAGAAGTTAGTGACACATAAAATAAAAGGTTCACAACAATTGATAATATCTGCATAAGCAATGCGAGCTCGCAGGTGAGCGGATTAAAAAACCAATTGTATCTCGTGACCTTGATGCTTTATGAAAATGTAAATGAAGGTGGGATCTTAAGTCAAAAATTTGGGTCAAAAATTTGGGTATGACACATTTTATGTGTAGTTTTTTTCTGATCTAAAAATTATAGGGGAAAAGCAAGAAAAACAAAAGTGACAGGAAAATAAAGATTGCAATTTGATAGTCTATGGTTTCAGGTTTTCAAACGTTTATGCTTTTATTTTTAGTCTTATTTTTCTATCAATATATCAAGATCTGTTGCTTTGATCTGTTGATATCAAAATCTTTGTTTGATAAAGTTTTGGGTGATGATTTTTTCAAATACATTGGTGTTAAATGAAAGAGACAAAAACAACGTGACTCATAGTGCTTAATTTGTTAATTGCATGTTGCTTTTTTTTCCTATCAAATTAGGAGGGTGATGGTCACTGGTCATATTGACATGGTTTATGTTCTGCTTCAATATGGAAAGCATTTTATTTGTTGGAAGATATAGCTTCATTTCCTTCATGCATTTTCTTTATCAAATTTTGATGATGTATTTTTTTGCTTTCTTGGATTCTTTCAGGCTTGGGGTTGGCAAGACCAATGTTACGATTTTGCAGATGAATTTCATAAAATAATGGTAAATTTATTTTGCATCATCTCACTGACCTGGTTTGTTTTGATTTTCATATTGTTGTCCCAATGATCTTTAATGTTTATTTCTCCCTCTTAAAAAGTTGAGCTCTCTAGCTTCATTGAGTCATTTATCAGGCAATCATTCTTGAATGTTAACTTTAGTTGTGTTGATTTTATGTCGCCAAATTCAAAATGTTGTTTACTTCAAGATCAAAAATCCTTCACTTATTTATTACGATTTATACATGCTATTTCATTGGCGAGTTTAATAATTCTATGTAGAACATTATTTGGTCCGTGCTCTCTCATATGTTAATGGCTTTTGTGTTTTGCTTTTTTTAATGTTCATGTTAATGGCTTTTGTGTTTTGCTTTTGTAGTGTTTATTTTTCTTCCAAATTGTTTCATATTGACCTACTCATTTATGTTCCTTCTCATGTTGCATATATTTGGAGTTTTGTCCCTGTTGGCATCTGGCCCAACCGGGACCCAAATTGCATGTTCGATGAAAACACCTTTAACCCTTGAATCTTGATTTTCTTAATTACTATGTAAAAATGCATAGTTATCCATTATACTTATTATTAATACATAGATCTATTGTCCGGACTAGATGAGATAAAAGATAAGGTGTGGTTGCTAGGTCAAGGAAAACATGTAGGTAGCCAGCTGGTTACCAACCCTGATCAAATATACAAAGCCTAAACTAGGTTATATGATCAGAGGATCATCTCATTGAACGTGGGGGAAGATGAAGAGGTAGCAGTCAATCTCATACCTCAGATCCAGAGGTCACCCCGTGTTCGGACTTAATGGAACCGTTACGCAATGGCCGACCCATTAAGGGCGTACGCTCATCATTATACGACGATACACATTATGATAATAGCCATCATTAGTGACATCCAACATTATTTTCCTTAAAGACAACCCGTTATGTAATATGAAAATTCACGACAGTTACAAGCAGTGATCATTGAGGTCCAGGCACCTCTATAAAAACGGATCCCGACTGAGGGGTAAGCAAGACACATTGCTTGGAGCTCACGCACACTTGTGTAAGCCTCAAAATCCCTTAACATAATATACAAAGCAACTCCGTTCATTAGAGACCTTCCCTGAAGTCCTTGAGTTCGTAGGAAATTCGTCCTTGGTGTTCAGCAAGAATATTTGGCGCTCACCATGGGGCCCCGGTAAAACACTCTTGGGCCACACTATCCAAGCATTATGCGAATAATATCCTCTGACGAAGATCCACCCCCGGAAATGGCTCAATTACTGGCCATGATCGACGACCTTCGTAAGCAAAATGACACGCTCCAGGACATCGTCCATATCCTGCAGACAAAGAGCCAGGACGATGACGACCAGGGAATGGAGCTTCTGGAGCCTCATCCATTATCCCAGGCTATCTGAGACGATCAGGTTCCAGAGAACTTCAAACCTCCGACGTGCTTGCCATACGATGGGAAATCTGATCCCCACGAACATATCATTGCTATAAAAAACATGATGGCAATCATCTGGGCTAATGATTCCTTGAAGTGAAATCTCATGGCTAGCACCCTCAAGGAGTCGGATTTAAGGTGGTATATGGGCCTTCTGAGATGCTCTATCACCAGTTACCAAGATTTTACCAAAAAGATGGTCCAATAGTTTTCTACAAGCCGACACAGGAAGGTGTCCACAACGACACTGTTCAATGTCCCTCAACTCCAACCGGAACCCTTGAGGGATTACATGGAACGGTTCAACGAAGAAATTATAAAGGTTTCTCAATCCAATCAGGAGATCTTTGTAGGGGCTTTCCAGCATGGTCTCCGGGCCGGTCAATTCAACGAATCACTGGCCCAGAAGCCGGCCACCAGCATGGACGAAATCATCACCCGTGCAGAATGTTATGTAAAAGGAGAAGAAAGTAACATGGGAAAAAGAACCCGAGACTGAAATAATCGGTCGAACCGTCATCTGATATTAAATCAATAAAGTCGCCATCGAACGTATTTTATCCCACCGAAAGGGAAAGGTAAACATCGAGAAAATCTGAAGGAATGAAATCACGGTTTTGTGACCGTATAGATTGAGTAAGGGAGTCTGTTACACGAGGAGAAGGTATTAACACCCCACACACCTGTAGTACTCTATGGTATCCACTTTTATTGTTCTAATCTAATGGGTGTGGTCAAAATCTATGTCTAAGCTTAAGAGCTAAAAGAAAATGCAAAGAGGGAATGCATACAAAAGAAAAGAGAAAATAATGTAGGGAAAATAAAGTTGTGCTCGTTCGGGCCCTAACCCGATGCATACGTATCCCATTTAAGGAATCAGAGCAGCCGTAGTTCGGCACATATATTTTGGTTGGTTTGTGTTTTTTTAGTTAAAAAGACAAAAGCAACAATCAAGATGGCAAAAGATTAAATAAAACTACAAAACATTAACGACGATGATAAAAAAAAAAGGGAACAACAATACATCACATGGCAACACAAACTCAGATAATATGATAAGACGTCAGCATGATAACAAAATATCAAACAAGATGACAAAATATTACACCTAACAATGATATCAAAACCCAAAGTAGGATGACAAACATACGCAATGGCGAAACATCGACAACAAACATATGCAATGTCGAAACATCGACAAAAAATAGCAAGATAGCATGACAAAGATGATGAGACATAAACAATCCAGATGATAAAACATCACACCTAAAAATGATATTGAGAATCAAGGTAGGATAACAAACATACGCGATGGCGAAACATCGACAACAAACATATGCGATGGCGAAATATCGGCTAAAAGATGGAAAGATGACATGACAAAGATGGCGAAACATCACAATTCAGATGATAAAACATCACACCTAACAATGATATGAGAATCAAAGTAGGATAACAAACATATGCAATGGTGAAACATCGGCTAAAAGATGGCAAGGTAACATGGAAAAGATGGCGAGGTATCATAATTCG